ATGATTTTTTTCCTTCTTTATGCCTGTACTTTTCTCTATAACAAACTGATTTTGATGATTTGGGTTTATACCCAGAAGTGGGACAGCTGTATCATTTGGTACTTATTATTTTTTATGGAAGAACCCCCATAATATTTCCATAATGGTTATACTAATTTACATTCCCATCAACAAAGTGTGAGTTCCTCCTCCCCCCTCCCCACATCCTTACCAACAGTTGTTTTCCTGATGATAGCCACTCTGGCTTGGGTGAGATGGGATCTCAAAGCAATTTTGATTAACATTTCTGTCAGCTCAAGACGTTGAACATTCATCCATGCATTTGTTGGTTATTTGTAATTCTTTATTTGAAAAGTGCCTGCTCCATTCATGTGTCCCACTTAGTGACTGGATTACCTGCTATTTGTGTATTTATTATAGTTCTTCATGTAGCATAGGAATCAATCATTGATTAGATAAATAGCTGAGAAAGACTTTTCTCCCATTGTGTAGGCATCTCTCCGCTCTGTCATTTGTTTTGCTGTGCAGAAGCTTTTGGTTTGGTTTGTTTTTTGTTTTTTGTTTTTTTGGACAGGGCCTCTTTGCCGTTCCAGGTAGCCTAGAACTCACTATGTAGACCAAGCTGGCCTCAGTCTCACAGAGGACCACTCTGCCTCCTGAGTGCTTGGATTAAAGGCGTGTGCCACCACACCTGGCTTAGTAGAACCTTTCCGATGTCTCGCAATCCCGTTTTTATTTTCAATACTTGCTACTATTTCTTGAGCTATTGAAGTTTTATTTGGAAAGTCCTTGCATGTGCCTAGATCATGAAGTGTTTCTCCCATGTTTCCTCTAGTACTAGTTAGGCATCATGGTATCTTCAGCATGATCGTTTATTATTGCTGTGTGTGTGTCCATGTGTGTATATGTCACGTGTAGGCAGGTATCTATGGAGGCCAGAATAAGGTGGAGCTGGAGTTATAAGTGGCTGTGAGCCATCCTGTGTGGGTGCTGGGAACCAAATTCCTCACTCTTCTAGAGCAAGTGCTCTTAACTATCGATCCACCTCTCTAGCCTCCAGCATGTTCTTTTTGCTCCTTGGGGTCTTTCGTGCTTCATTATTAATTTGAGGATTTTTTCTGTTTCTGTGAAGAATGTCATTGGAGTACTTCCCTTAAAACAATCTGTTAGTCATGGAAGCTGAAGACATCTGAATGCCTTCAAGAGTTTCTTGACATTATAAAATAATCCTGGACCAGTTGAATAAAGAGTAAGAGTTGGACCGGTGGGCTGACCTCACCTTGAGTATCGGTGGGCACCATTTAAGGTTGTTTTGCTGGTTGTAGTAGGATCCTCTACAGATTCTTTCAAAAGTTTACTCAAGAGCCATTGATTGAGATAGGAAGCAAAGAAAACATCTTAACTCTCCATTACAGGAAAATGCTATAGGAAAAGATACAGCAAATGACCAGAAAGAGTGCAGAAAAATGAAGCGTTATCGCTGAGCTGTTGCTATCTGAAGACTCAGATCCTGTTGGCACAAACAAAGAAGACAGTGATGGCGTCAAAAGAGAAAAAGTGGTTCCTCCCAAGCAGTTGCTAACGTGAATTAAAACACAGTTTCCTCTGATGACAACAGTCTAACTCTTTGGGTGGATATTACCAGCAAGTACCATCAAGTAGATAGAAAAGGTCAGGTTAAAGAAGATAATTGTGTGTCCAATCCTGTAAGAAAACACACAGAAGCCAGTAAAGGCATGGACCTTCCATTGTCACAGGTGAAGGACTTGTTCCACTAGGAGAAATGCA